CGCTAGAAAGGGCTCCAAGGAACGTATAATGGCAGGGCGAAGCACAGATGCAATGAGCGGTTAACACACACACACACACACCAAAGGTCTCTCTCTGATTGTTTATATCCATGTTCACAACACAAAGATCCAGACTTACCAAATGCACGCACGACTGTCCTGTATACATGAGTGTATGTCCAAATTTTCCAGCGTGTGCTCTATATACGAGAAATTGTTCAACGTTCCACAAAGTGATGGACCAGAGCCACCAGCGATCAGTTGATTGAGCGTTCTGTTCACTTATGAATTAAGAGTGCCACAGGTAAGAACTGAGTGCCATGTGGGAGGTGTGGCACCAACAGGAGCAGCAGAGAAGAGAGAGGGGGTTGGGAAGGAAGGAGGGAGGGAGGGGATGGGGCACAAAGGGACAGTTGTACCTGCGCGATCCACCACAGGTACCAACTGGACAACGCGACGCAAGTGTCCGCCAGGGCTGACCTGCCGCTGGAGGGGGGAAAGGGGGAGGAGGGTAGGGGCGGTGAGGTACAGAGGGGGAGGAGGGGAGAAGAACGAGGGGAAAATGATTAAAAAAAAAATGGTTGCCGCCTGCATCAGATAAGTTGTCAGTTGCGTTCTCGTCACTACCTGGCTGTGTTCTTGTCAGTATTAGGTTACAGTCAGTTCGGTCCTAAGTTACAGTCCGATCAGCTCCAAGTTGCAGGCTGATCAGTTCGAAGTTACGTTGTTGCTATGTTTTGTGGAGTTTAAAGTTACTCTGGTAATTTCCTAGCCTGATCAATTCCAAGTTGCGTTCTGGGCGGTTCCTACTTAAGAGCTTTCACAATTACCCGCAAAATCGCCAAATTATAAAATCTGTCATTTAATGAATATCGCTAATACGTCACGACTATTGCTTTACCAGTGCCGCCAATACTGCCACATCGGCACACGCCTGTATATCACTAACACCGTCACATCGCCAAGTTAAGACCACCGCATCGTCCACATCGCCAAGTGAAGACCACCGAATCGTCCACATCGCCAAGTGAAGACCACCGAATCGTCCACATCGCCAAGTGAAGACCACCGCATCGTTCACATCGCCAAGTGAAGACCACCGAATCGTCCACATCGCCAAGTGAAGACCACCGAATCGTCCACATCGCCAAGTGAAGACCACCGAATCGTCCACATCGCCAAGTGAAGACCACCGAATCGTCCACATCGCCAAGTGAAGACCACCGAATCGTCCACATCGCCAAGTGAAGACCACCGTATCGTCCACATCGCCTGATAGTAACATCATAAATTTCGTTAAGGGCGCGACGCCAATATCAAGACCGTCAAATGGCGACATCAGACTGGCGCGTGGCCGGTATCAGTCTCCCGTCACGGAGCCAATATCAGACCGTCATATCCTGTATAAAAGACTGTCACATCGCGAATATCAAATACTGACGTTGCCGGTATCCATCACATCGCAAGTGCTAGTTAATCACGTTGCTTCTCGACGCGATCATAACGTCAAACTCCCAACGGCGTCGCCATCGTCATTTTTTCCGACACATGTCACATTGCTAGTATTATTATACAGTATACTGCTAACACGGTCACATTATGAGTATTATCAGACCATCAAGCATGAGTAATACAAAATACAACATTTCTACATACCACCAATATCGTCGCTATAACGTGATATCGCTATTATTACCCTGCATTACAACGCAAACTTTGCATCGCCAATTCTACTAGACAACACCAGCAAATGATCAACACCTTCACATCCGTCACATCACCGCCAACTGACCCTTCCTACACTCGCCTTGCCACCACCTCTCTTAAGTTATTCGCTCAGTAATCCCTTCTCTACTTCAGACCTACACCCTCGACACCACTAGTCCTCTGTGTTCCAACCATCTCATTATCTCAGTCTATTTCTAGTTAAACACAACACCTTATGTAGGACTAATAACCAGTAATATTATCCCCCCTTTACATATTCCAACGCACTATCTCCGCTAATTTGAGTAATCTCCCATTTCAAACGTCAGAAAACTATTCTCTACCCCCCTACCTACTGCTAGTAATACTCCCCTGAACCTCTTTACCAACAAAATTTCCGCCACGCCATTTTTAGTAATCCATCCGCAACACACGCCGCTAGTAATCCCTATTATACGCCGCCGATACTAATCCCTCCCTAATACTCCCCCGGCAATAATCCTTATCATACTCACTCCAACACACTCCACCACCACCTCTAATACAAAATTCTCTAATAACCTCACCCCAACACACACTCTTCACCACCACTCGTAATGTCTCCCCCTACACACACACTCCCAACACTCTCCACCACCACTAACAATCTCTCCCCACACACTACCATCACCACCACCGCTAGTAATCCTCTACACACACGCACACACACACACACTCGCCATCACCACCGTCAGCCACTACTAATCTTTTATTCACACGTGTTGGCGCACAGTTTGCGAGTTCAAATAAATAATAGATCAGTTTGTAGTTATAGATGCTTAGGCATAGTTATCTCCGTATGCACACGCACGCAGCATTCTGCCACGCACTCATAATCACCATTACTACCTGGCTGCCTGTCTTGGTGCCTCACCAGCCTACCCAACCAACCCACGAGGGATCAGGCACCCGCGCCTGCCCCAGCAGCGGAGGTCCAGACCCACGCTAAACAGGTAAGTGTGGTCAACACCTGGCCCGAGTGCCAGCACTCGTCTTATGGCACTGTACAGTGGTAATTGGTGTTGCCATAGAGATGTGAATCACCGGTGACAGTTTAGCTTTGATATACGCAGGTTTGTACCGCGTGGGACGACATCTGTACGCACTAGTTTGTGGTGAAGGGTACAGGTTACTATTGACGTACGGGTCAGCAGCTAGGTGCAGGTTAGTAGTGAGGTACAGGTTAGTGATGAGGTATATGATACTAGTCGAGGGGTACAGGTCTGGTGTGTGTTACATGTTAGTAATGAGAAGTCCAAGTTAATAGTGAAGAGTACACGTTAATAGTGAGAAGTACAACTGGATAGGCACTCTCCTCTCTGGTTTGCAGTTTGCGATATATGTAAACAGGTATACTTGAAGCAGTAGTTGCATATAAGCCATAGAAGCAGCAGTTGAGTATTAGTTCCTAGAGGAACACTGGAAAATGGCGACAGATACGCTATAATTAGCGTATATCTAGCTGTACACCCGACGCGAGTTTACACTCCAATGGCACTCCTTGAGCGGTACACCAGACGTGAGGTATACTCAATACTGATGCTAGGAGGAAATCCTAAAAAATGAACATATCTGGTATGGCGAAATACTTGTATAGGGACGGTTCCTTGACAGGTACACTCCAGTACAGACATATGTTTGGGCAGGTATATTCCTGTACAGAGATACGCCCGAGCTGGTACTCTCCATTAGATTTAAAGCTTGGCAGTTACACAGGTACAAAGGCCTGGCAAGTACCCTCCAGTAATTGTACACCTAAGGGAGGTTGTACACGGCTGTCAAAGTAATGTACAACATTTCTCGTTTACATATTTTGGTATTTACACGGACATGCCTTTTGTTAACTGTCTCGTTCTAACTAATTCGCGTTACTGAAACTTGATATCTGTCAATATAACGATCTAGAATATTCGAGTTACTCAATATGATTGATATATATAACAAAAAATAACAAACGATAACAACAAAAATGATTGATTTATATATGTTATCGGTATTTTGCAAATACGTACTTGAATTGGAGAAAAAATGTATATGAATGTTTGCTAGTTACATGCATTAGTTCTCATGGAACGCCTTCTGCACTTTGGTTTAGGTGCAGCTTGATTACCCCCAGCGTCGCTTGGATAATATATTAACGAGATTATCAATAATTGTGCATGCTTTTGCGGAATTATTCACATCATTGTCAGAATTAGGAGTAGTATGACGGGACTTCTGGCGTTCCCTGATGTGCCCTCCTCTTAGTGTGGGTCGCCCCTGGTGTTGGTCTCCCTTCCCCCCTGGCGTGGGGGTTAGCAAGCGTGGGTCTACCCCTAGCGTGTATATCTCCCCCCCTGGTGTGAGTGGTGGTTGGATGGCAAGTGGCCCCACTTGACCCTAGACGCCAGCCAACCTTTCAGAGTCGTCTTCCCTCGGAAATTCAAAGTGTGTCTTCCGTCGCAAAAATTGCTTTGAAAAAGAGCTGGGAAAATTGATGAGGGCGAGAGCTAGGGCGAGGGAGTAGGTTTGAATAATTGAAGGATGTCTGTGTGCCTGTGTTAGAGGGCCCCTAGTGTGTGTGTGTGTGACCTTTGGCCTCGCCTCCTTCCTTCTGATGATGTCTCATCATCTTCCTCCTCCTCCTTGCCTTCCTGGCTTATATCGGACCATCACTACCACCGCTCATTACAAGCTCTTAATTACTCTATTTTCATAGCATTTCTAGTGAGGGTGGGAAACCCATCTTGGGCGTGGGGTGGAGGGGGGCGTGTCACGTGTGTCCTGGAGAGGCGTGATCCCTGCCAACCTTTCCCCCGGGAAAGGGTGGCAGGTGTGTGAGAAGGCCGGGAACATGAGTGAAGTGTGAGGCAGGTGTGGAGAACAGGTGTGGAGGGTCCCATCGTGTGGTAGAGAACACGCCACCCGTCGCCAGGTGCTGCGGTCGACCCGCCGCCGCCGCCGCCGCCGATCGATCCAGCACCAGAGAATATATCTGGCGACGGGAATGTTGATAGTGGTGCTAATTGGGAGTCTGAGAGCTCCTTTTCCCCGTGCCAGCGCCTCAGTGCCAATCTGGCATCGGTCTCGACTCAAGGGGGCGGGGAAAAATATGAATTATTGATTCATATTAGCGACATGCGCACCGCAAAGCATATAAAAAGACGGCATTTTTACGGGTGAGTCTCAGAGCAACACAGGGCCTTGAGGGGTCGTGAGGGGCCCGCACCCCCTTGAGGGCCCCGAGGTGTCCCTCAGGTGTTCCTTGGGCTTACCTGTGAGGCCGCCGCAGGGTAGGTGTAGCCGAATTGGGCGTAGGCTGACATTGTTGTGTGTGAGGGGTCCAGCCCTAGAGATGAATACAGTCCACTCCCGCGTGTAGGCCTGGTCTATCGCACCTCGGTGATGTGTACCTTGCTAAGTGTTGCTATCACTAATTACACATCCCATCTACACTGGCCACCGAGCGGTCACTGGCCAACACGGTAGACACAAGTGGTCACTGGTGTCCGACATACACGAGACTAACAACACACAACACGTCCTCCACTAACTCCATACAAGCGAGCCAATGGGGCGGGGCCTGGCCTCTAAGGGCGGAGTCTCGCGCGCCGCCACTGGCCCTATTGGTCAGCTCGCCAGCCTCATCTCTCTCTTTTAACAAATCATTTCGCTGATTGGTTCTTGTGGGCTGAGAGCGCCTCCTATTGGTTACGCCTCATTGGCATCTTGGGATGGGACAGAGAATGAGTGGAACATTTCGTAGGACTGTCTGCCTAATATTTTCGACATGTGTTTGGCAAACAGAAATACACAAGTACACTGATTTTTCATGAATGACTCACTTTGTAAATGACATTTAAATTTTTGACAAGCATTGGAGGAACTTAATGAAGAGATGGACTTGTAAAATGTGTGAGCACAGAGGACTCCATACTTGCCATAGCTGACCACTGGGACACTGGTAACACGGACCAGCCCCTTGTACGTCCCACCAGGGACACATTTCCCCAATTGCACCCCGGGACATTAGGCGAATTGCGACTTCTTTTTTTTTTTCTTCAACTGGACGATAAATCATACGAAGACTGATGCTGTGTGAGGCTTGGGGGAGTACTTGGGGGATGAGAAAGATGGGGAGCATCACTTGTCGCAAATCCTCCGCAACACCATCATCTTCACCAAGCAACATCAGCAACTGCGACACACAACAAGCTCCCCCTCGCTGTAACACACGTCACTGAGGCTTTGCAATAAAGTGGAACTTTTACTTAGCTGTTTTCACCGGACGTTTTGCAGCTTGACCGCACTAAAAATCACTCAGGACAAGCCACTATTCATCTTTTTGCCGACTTCCTTCTCCTGGACCCAGCCTGGCGTCCACTCGCCAGGGTTACCGAGACCCTCCGCTGGAAACTGCAAGCCTGGACTAAAGAGAAAAGAAAAAAAATGGAAAAGGCGTAATAATTTAACTCGTGCTTAGGCTTGACCTCCATTCGTTTTAAATGGTTAATTTATTAATTTTTATACGTCCCTTCTCTTCTCTCATTCTCTCTCCCTCTCTCTCTCTCTCTCTCTCTCTCTCTCTCTCTCTCTCTCTCTCTCTCTCTCTCTCCTCTCTCTCTCCTCTCTCTCTCTCTTCTCTCTCTCTCTCTCTCTCTCTCTCTCTCTCT